ACTGATCTGTATTTTGGCATTTTAATTTTAACGAACAATATTCAATAGCACAAACTGTATCCTTTCAGCAACGAGACCACCAGGATAACCTCAACCGAAGCTCTAGATACCAATTGTTGGGGAAACTAGGTTATTTCCCACACGAACGTAGTTTCAAACTTGATCTGAAATGTCAAGATCTAAAACACAAAAGGTTGCACAGCAGACAAACCCGCCAAACTATTGATTATTGAAACACAATGGAAAAACCGAATAATGAACAATAAAGGAGATAACACACCACATTTACGTGGTTCGACGAGAATATCGTATACTCCTCAGGCACCACATCGGATGATAACTTCACTATCAACAAATATTACAACAAATGAAATTCTTTAGAATTCTCAAAGTGAGAGAATGAAGAAAACAAATGGAAAAGAGAACTTGTTTTTGGGATGATTTCTAATGAAATACTTAGGCCTATTTATAGTTGAGTTTTAAGGACTAAACTTATAAATAACATAATATTTTATGGACCAAAGATGAAATTCTCATGTGCAAAGTTGACCACCTACCAAAGATGAATTTTCCAATAAGTTGCCACCAACCAAGATGAAATTCCCATGTGCAAAGTTGGCCACCTACCAAAGATGAATTTTCCAACTTGCCAAATTTGACAATTTACATGCCAAACATAACAACATATAAATCACATATGAAGAAAATACGAAAAAATATACATGTATTATATATATGGTTATAAAATACAATTTAAATTAGATTAAAATAATATCATAATATTGTAAAAATTTATAATTAAATTTAAATAAAAACTCAAATATTTGACTCGACTCGACTCGAAAAAATTTCAAGTCAACTCCGAGTTATGAAATAGGACTCGTCAACTCGAATAACTCGAAATTTTTTGACTCGACTCGATCGAACGTTCACCCCTAGAAAAAAGAAAAAGATAGATAGCTTGAAGAAGAAGAAGAAGGGAATTTAACGGAGTTAAGTTCCACGTCAATAAAAACTGACCGGGGGTAACGGTAGGGATCAAAATGAAAACGGACTAAAAGTTCAATGATTGTATTATAATTTTTAAAAGTTGAGTGACCAAAATACAAGTATCCTAAAAATTTAGAGACTATTTGTATACTTTACCCTAATTTTTTTTTATAGAAAACAACTTAAATATATGGATGATCATACTAAAAGTTACTCTTCACTTAATTAGAAAGTTTGAGTGTGAATTTAAAAAGTTATACTAAAATTTTAAAAGATATATAATTATAAAATTTTAAAGTGAACAAAATTAAATAATTAATAAAAAATATAAAAATATAAAAAAATAATATATAATATAAGTGAATTTGAAAATTTTAAGGATACGTCCCTAAATTAAATTTAAAGCCGCCAATACTGGTTTATTTCCGTTGAACATATCATAGCAGTCAACATTAAATTTAGAGCCGCCAATACTAATATATTATATTATATTGTATTATTTTATTTTATTTTATTTTATATTGTTAATTAGCTTTTAAATTTGTAGATAAATTAATCATTAGGTTATTTAATTATGAATTTGATTACAAATAATTCATTTTTTCTTTTAAAAATTATAAATATATAATTTAATTAAAATATTATTATAAATATTTTTTTATTATTAAACTTTAAACTTATTTTAATATAATAATTTTTTAAAATAATAATTTTTATCACTTAAGTCGCTCTATTCATGATATCAAAAAATTAACATTGAATGATAAGATGTATTGAAATTCCAAATATAAAAGAAATTCGAAAGGATTAACCATAGTTTGGTGGGATCCCTATGATTATCCTATTTATAGTACACATCCTATCGCCGGTGTTTTTATTTTCAGCTTCTTGTTTATCCATTATTATTTCCTTTCTTTTAAGGTTAGTTTCTCTACCAATTCATTTCACTTAGGGATGGCAATCTTGTTTTAGCTACGATTTATTTTGCATCTTGTGTTGAATTTCTTTGTTTTATACTAGGGTAATTTAGAATGGGTTCCGCGACTCTTCACGAGGAGATCAACTCGTTCTTTGAGTCAGCTCCTCCGCTTAAAGATTCCGTTAAAATCGCCGACAAATTGAATCAATTCGTCCAGCTCGATTCTCCATCTTCAGGTACAAGATCTTGTGGCTAATCAATTGTGTACGTGTATTCCCCTACTGCTTGTTTATACGTATTTATATACCATTTTGAAATTCCCTGATGGAAAAGGGAGGAGGGTTGTGTGTGTGACATCTGGCGGAACCACGGTTCCTCTGGAGCAGCGGTGTGTTCGGTATATCGATAATTTTAGTTCAGGGAATAGAGGAGCAGCTTCTACAGAGTAAGTAATATAAATAATATCTGAATGAGTTGGGATATTTGATTGAAGGTTTTGCTGTTTTTTTAACTGATTGGATTTCTTTTCTGCAGGTATCTTATCAAGGCTGGATACAAGGTCATATTTTTGTATAGGAGGTGAATTTCATTTTGGATGATTGTTTATTTATGTTTGGTTATTTTGTGGTTGTGTTCAACAGATGTTTGTATTGATTCTTCAACTTCTGTGCGTGTAGAGGAACCTGCCAGCCATAATGCAGGTCTCTTCCTGAGGATCCTTTGCTGGAATGTTTTGAGCTCGCTGATGATTCCGATTTTCAAGGTTTGTGGATTATCTTTACCTCAAATTATACATTTTTAGTGGACTGTTTCTCTTTGTTCAATACTTCGACATTGGCCATAACTTGAATGCATTATAATGGCTTTGGATATGTTATTTTCTGTCATAGGTAATAGAATTATAGAAATTCACTTCTGTATTCCATGCTGTTTTTATAATATATTTTAAGACATTGATCTGTCAACTTTTGCCTGCGATATATGGTATTATGTGTTGTTATTTCCTACTGAGGTTATTGGGTTATGTCTAATATTTCAGTGCGGCAATCACATTCCGAAGCAGTGAAGGGTGCTATTAGGAACCATCATGCTGTATGGGCTGTTAATATTACTAATTAATCTTCCTCTACTTTTCATCTTTGATCTAGCTTTTGGCTCTTTTGGTTCATGATTGCAAACCGAATCAACATTGCTTTAACAGTTGGCTTCTTTGCATTTTGTTGCAGGCAGTAGCTGGTGGTCTCCTTTTGAAGCTACCCTTTACAACCATATTCGAGTATCTTCAGGTTGGCTTCGATAAGCTTTCATATGACTCCTTGAAGTTCATATTAATTACACATTACGAATTGTAGGTTTAAATATATTCACAACTTAGGCCCTTTCTATACCCCTTTGGCCTTTTTCATGGGTGAGCTACCTTTTTGGTTAAGATAACTTCATATAAATTGTCTCTAAATGGCCTCTTATCTTTGCTTTTTGCAAAGCAAAATGATAGCTTTGACAGAGGCCATGGCCTCGTTATGTTCCTGAATAAATGGGGCGAGAATGTCGGGCACTGTACTTTTTCAGTTTTCTTCATATTTGGTAATCATATAGTTCTCATGGTCATTAGATAATAGCTTTTAAGTATACTATTTGGTATTACACCGAAAATATTGTTAAGTTAATCCTACACAACAATCATCTCTGATAACTTGAATGGTCTTTTCTTGCTAGAGAAGATGTTAAGAATGATTGCATCATCAATGAGAAGCCTTGAGCGTCGAGCAATGTTTTATCTTGCTGCTGCCGTCTCTGACTTTTACGTTCCTTGGAAGAGAATGGTAATGATTTGATATGATAAAATTATCTTCCTTTTCTGGACTGATATAGTTTTCATTTGAATAATCTTTTATGCATCTCTATTTTCTTTTGGGAAAAAGACTGATTAATTGCACAGGCAGAGCACAAGATTCAGTCAGCATCTGGCCCTTTAGACATGCGACTTATGCAAGTCCCGAAGATGCTCTCGGTGCTGAGGACGGAATGGACTCCGATGGCCTTCTGCATATCCTTCAAGGTAAGACATGGTGGTGCACTCACTTCATCGTCTGCTTTGGAAGCCAGGACTGATTAAAAGAGGTTATTGAAACGAATGCTCTTTAGCATTATGTATAATGAATTCATTGGTTCTGTTTTATCTGGTTTTGATCAACAGCTCGAGACGGATTCAAAAATTCTCCTAGAGAAGGCCAATATGGCTCTGAAAAAGTACAAAATGCATTCAGTTGTAGCGAATGAGTTATACCCGGAAAGAGGAGGTCACGGTAGTCACAGAAAACGGAAATGTTTTAGTTTGCCGGGATAAGAATCGACCGGGGTCTGATGTGGAGGATCCACTGATTGAACTCCTTGTGAAGAAACACTCAACATACATTAAAGATGCTAGCACATGATCTCTAGGTAAGCATGACCTTCCCCTGATACAACATAGCTCCCAAGATCACACTTTTATCATCTGAAATTCTGCGTTAATGTAGTTTTTCTTTAATGTTAGTCTGTTACACAGTCTAACAAATTGTTTAATTTCAATCACTGTTACTAAGTTTGTAATCGATTGTTTTCCATCGACTCTTCTTCGTTAATTAACAACTATAAAGAAATGGGATTGAGCAAAAATAATACTATCCAGAATGTTGAAAGACCCAAGTTCCAATCTCATGACAAAATCTATACATTGTAGCATGACAACAACAATCAAGTCCTTTGGAATGATGCAGACGCTCTATTTTCGTAGCCCACCAAACAGCAACTAGCAAGCCTACAAGACAATCAGAACTAGGAGTGTTTAATTGTTTATAACCGGGTAATCTATTATCCGAATAGTTAAAAAAGTGGCTCACATCCAGACCTGTAAAAATTGGGTAGGTGCAAGTCGAAAAGTTAAACCGGTCACCCTCTATATTCACTTCACAAGGTCATCAGCCACTGGATGCACCGGTCCATGTTGTTGCATACATCCAACAGAACACAGCACAGCACATACATCCACCATTCAAAATAGTGGAGAGAAGGGAACTTAACCAGGAATAACATTTCCTTAAAACTTGACACAATTTTATACATTTCCTCTTTTTGCCTTTCGTTTAAGCACAGAAGTATGTATATGCGAATATGCGTGGGGATCGAAGAAAGTTCTACGTAAAGAATTTAGTAGGGGGCCGGGCCATATGTACAACATTTCCTACTGAGATTCATCATCTGTATCAAGCTCAAGGCCTTCTGCAGCTAAACGCTGACTTATGACCTTTTTCTTCTCTTCTGCTTTCTTTCGCATCAAATCCCTTTTCTTTATCACTAGGGTATGCCGTTTAAGAGTGTTGTTGAAGTGTTCTATTGATGCTTTTTTCTCTTTCGCCAATATTTTTCTTTCTTCATCAGGATCTATCTGAAATTCCACCCAAATACAAGTTTTAGTTTGTGCAGTAACTATATTGGAGAGAGACACCATCTGTTTAACTGAAATATAAAATAATGATGTGAAGTCAGTCGTGTATAGGTAACGGAAAAGAGTAATATAATACCAAGTCTTACGGACTTTGAGTCACAATTCTGGAATTAGTTTGAAGCTCAAAGATCAAATTCTAAAAATGGCAATCTATTTCTTCAATTCTAGACCATGTGTACTTTTATTAGAATCTACCGCTCTACAGTGTGTACAACACTAAAACTTACCATAAATTCGATGGTGAACCAGTCAATGTTTAGAAAGTCCACCCTGATACAGTTACACTGTTAGAGAAATTTTAGAAATTGTTTGTTACCTTAGAACGAGAAAGACGGCGAACACGAAGATTTAGCTCGCGCTGCTCCCAAGCTGAGACAGCCATATCTCCTCGCTGATCCCAAGCTTTTCTCTTTTTTATAAGCCACTCCATCCATGCTTCTGATGCCTGGAATAAAGGAGAAAATTAGGAAATTCCACTCTTAAAGAACTCACACAAAGTAAAATAAGGGGAGAATAATTCAAGTTGTGCTGAACACAAATTTTGTGAATAACTGGAATGCTCACTGTAGTAAACCATTTAATCATACGTCTTTAATATCACCAGCACGTTTCCACTTGATAAGTCATTTTTTATTCAAAGAAACCAATATAAGGAATTTTGTTTCAAAGAAAAAAGGTGTGGGTACCATATAGGCTTTGGAAACAAAAATTAGTAGGAAGTCTGACTCAAGTTGTGCTTGATTAAGAATCGTAAGAACCAAGTCAATAAAACATATATTTATATAAAGGGGAAACAGCACGGTTTTATAATATAAAATTATGATATAAATTTGGATTGAGGATATTAGATCCCTCATTCTGCTCATAGAATCTTCAATTTCATAAACAAAAAAAGGACAAAAAGCAATGATAAATCACTTAGAAAATGTACATCATCTAAGTAGACCAAGTTCCAAATTTCAATTCCATAGAAAATGCATATCTTACCTTCATTGGATTGACTCGGTTATCCATATCATACTGCCTCCGTCTCTCCACGTCTACGAGCAATTCATAAGCAGCTTGAATCTTGATGAATCTTTCTTCAGCAGTTTCACCTTCTTCAAGAGCTCCTTTACCATCATACACTTCAAATTGAAAATTGACCAGTTAGTAAGAACAGATGCCAAAAATTTTAGGAAACCAGTGAAACGGAAACAAATTTTCAGTAAACCAGATAAACACATCTATAATAGCATCCAAAAGGAATCCTGAAGCCAACTGGTTAAGTTCTCCAACATAACATTATTACACTCTCCTCTCAACAGTCCCAGATGCCGAGTTCTTATTTAATGCAGTTAAATGAATTTCACAGGGGAAATGTCCTACCAAGAGGAATACCCCAAATGATTCCCAAGAATAAAATAACCCTATACCACATAACCTAGCAGTCTAATACTGAAACCATAACGACAGCAAATACTTGAAAAGAATTGACCTATTACTGAAACCACACACAAATTTTCACTTATGAAACTTAAAGAGACACATACCATCAGGGTGATAAAATTTGGCCAAACGTCTGTATGCAGTCTTGATCTGTTCTTCATCAGCATCCCTTTCTAACTCTGTTGTTTACAAATCAAAGTTCCAATATAATTATATATATTTATCAATTAGCAAACCCAGAAAAAAAAACCATTTCTAATTCTGGAAAATAACCAAACCAAAAAATATTAATAATAACGGCGCTGTGTTCATCAAGCTAACAACGCACAAGGGTTAAAAAAATTACCAAGAGTTTCATAGGGAGATTTTTGGTCGGACCAATTCGATGCCCTAACGGCAGTTCTCCTTTGATTGGCCCGAAACCACGGTTCCTTCCTGCTCAAATTTCTGGACAAATGGAACCACGGAGAGAACGAAGACGACCTGAAATCAGGGTTTCGAAAGGAAACCCTACTTCTGGATCGTGCTTGATGGAGGTGGAAGAGCCTGCTACTACACATCAACGAAGAAAAGACCATGTGCGGTCTACAAGCTGTCCTCAAATTGCTCATTTCCTTTTTTTTCTTCTTCTTTTTGGGAGCTTGAGCTTGGATTATTAGAAATTAAAATCAAAGGAAACGAAAATAAAATTTTCGAAATTAAGAATTTAGGGTTTTATCGATTAGAATTGGGATTTTGCATGGCAGAATAGGCAGACTGCAAAAGAAACACGGGGAAGAAGACGTGAAGGAAGTGAAGAGGCTCATATAACGAAAATTTGAATCTGACTGAATTTAAATTAAAAAAATGAATATTTTGTGTTATTTTTTTCCTGGCTAAAATTATTGCCATTTTCATGTAAAAATAAATATTTTAATTCTTTTTACCGGGAAATTTGTGGACGAAGCTGAAAGTTAGTCGGTTACTAAAATTATTTTGGGGTAAACTATCTATTTGGCCACTCATCTGTTACTTAATTTCTGGTTTGTTCATTCAATTATTTTATTAATATTATATCTACAGTTATGTTTTAGTTATATTTTGGTCACCAGCTGGTAAAAAAGTTAACGATATATCACTATAAGATAATATCACAATAATAATAAAAAATAATTAAAAAATTTAACAGATTTTAAATATATTTTATTATTATTTTACATTTGTTCTGATTTTGTATTTTTAGTGATTTAAAAATATTTTATATTTTAAAAATCGTTAGTAATATTTTCTTAATTTTAAATACTTTTCATTTTTAATGTTCGATCTATATTAATCTCCGATCTAGATATTATCAGCTACAAATTTAGGAAGAAGATCATCCTAAGAAAGCTTTCAAGACTCAATATGAATGCTACAAGTTTATGGTAAAGTCGTTTGGTTTAACGAATTTTCCTGCGACATTTATGATTTTGATAAACTGAGTATTTCAATTATACTAGGACTAATTGATGATAGTGTTCATCGATGATAATATGGTCTATTTTAAGACTAAAGAAGAATATGATGCATATTTTTGTATGATTCTCCCAATTCTTCGAGAGAAAGAATTGTATGTTAAGTTGATAAAATGTGAGTTTTTTTTTTCTAAAATTGCATTTCTTAGCCATGTGGTTTTAGTTGAGGGGATAAAAATAGACTTTAGGAAAGTACAAACGAAAAGATGTGTTATTTAATTAGATTGATAGGTGACAAGAAAATTTCAAGATATTAAAGAGAATACCGATAGAAGCCTAGTGTTAGTGTAATCCAATCTGGAAAAGACTATGTGATCTATAGTGGTGTGTTTCATAAAGATTTGGGATGTGAGTTTATGCAAAAGGACAAGTTATGGCTTATGCTTTATAGAAATTAAGAATCATGGAAGAAATTATTTGACTCGTGATCTTGAGTTAGCATGAGTTGTGTTCATTTCATAGATATACCGTCAGTGAGTGATGTTATATTTATATTGATCTCAAAAGACAAAAGTATGTGTTACTTGAAGGAGTGAAAATAAAGGAAATGGATTGAATTCCTTAAAAAATGATGACGTGCTTATCGACTACCACCAGGAAATGCTAATGTGGTAAATGATACAATAAAGCTGAAAGACATTTTTGTTTTGAGAGTTTGAATATGTGATTGCCTTTAAAGAGAGATGGTGCTTTGATTGCGGAATTAAAGTTAAAGCCTATGTTGTTAGATTTAATATAGGATCTTCAAAGAAAGGATGAAAAGTGCTTGTAAAAGACATGATAAGTAGAAAACGTGAAACCAAAGACCATGAAATTAAGTTAATGGATGTATATATTATCGAGGAAAGAGTTGATACTATCGGTAGGTATGAAAAGAGCTATCACCAAGTTTGTTTAAAATGCATGTCATGCCAACAAGTTAAAGTAAAACATTAAGTGTTTTCTGGATTGTTGTAAGTGATTTCCATCCCTTAGTGGGAATGGGAATGAATTAATGGAATGGACTTTGTAATAGGTAAAGTTTATTTAAGATAATCTCAAGTTAATTGTCAAATGACAAAAGTCTTGTTCAGATTTAAAAAGAAAAGAGCACAAAGTATGAAAAAAAAAACAATTTTTTCATCTATCTACATTAGATACGTATTAAAAATTTGAGGATTATTTTTTATTAAGGCGAAAGAATTTTAATACCCCAAATTTTGATTAGTGACCAAAACGTAAATTTTGAAAGTTTAGTAGCTAAAGTAGAAAGTTAAAAAAGTTTAGGGACCAAAAGGATAATTTTTAAAAGTTAAGAAAGTTTAATACTCATAAATGAATAGTTCAACCTCAAAAATGATGTTTTCGTGTGAATTAGAATTTTGATCCGAAATTTGTGTTAAAAGCTATAAAACAGTAAAGTCCGAAAGAAAACTAGATAATCGGATTGAACCGAAATTTTACGAAAATTTGAATGATGATAAATAAAGGTTAGAAATATTCTTTCTAAATTTTATAATAGTGAAATTTAATGTGGATAAGTGGAATTGAAGTGGATTTTACATATTTAGCTTAAATTGGAAAATTTAGTGACTAAATGTAGTTTTTGAAAATTTGCAAGGGAAAAGGTGGAAAGTGGATTTTTATTTGTTCATCTTTGACTTTGGAATATTAAAATGGAAGCTATTCCAATGGCAAGTTGAAATTATCATATTTTATAAAGGGTAAAATGATCATTTCACATTGATAGAATTTTAAATTTATTTATATTAGATTAAGCCAAGTGTATTATGTTTTAATTGAAGAAAAATCAGAAAATTTCAGCTTCTTCCAGCCCCAAACTTGAACCACCATGGCTATTAAGGTAAGAATTTTCAAGTTCATTTTTAAGCTTATTCGATTGATTTTTGGATTAAGCTTTTAGATAGATAATTAATCCCCATTGAAATTCTCTATCATTTGGTATAAATATTACATGGATATCATGTTTATATGATGAGTTTAGAAATTAGGGTTTATGTAGGATTTGCTGATTTTGGGATTTGATGAAAGATTTTTATATTGTTGATGTTGGAGATTAATTCTAAAGCTTGTATGATGATTAAAACAACTTGAAATTGGGTGAAATTCTATTTGACCATGAACTAGGGTTTTGAGAAAATTTTGGTTTGGTTAAATTATGTTAGGGCTTTGATTGTAGAAGCCTTGAAATGTTGTTTAGAGGTGGAATCCATGCTTGAATCAAGTGAAAATCAATAACCCTAACTACTATGATATTCGGCCCTAAGGAATTAATTGGGGAAAAATTGTGAAAAATTTCCCTAGGCTTAGAAATGATGTTTGAAAGGTTCTACAAGCTTTAGAAAGTTAATTGAACTATTTTATAATTTTATGAATGTTGGAGGACCTATTTGGAAATTATGGAAAATTATGGGGTTTTTGTAAATGTTAGAAAGATGATGTACTATGATGGAATTGAAAGTTAGAATATTGAATTTGATGTTAGAATGTGAAATTTGACTATTTTGAAAGTCGGTAAAGTTTGAGTACTAAATGGAAAATATTGAGAAAGTTAGTGACTTAAGTGGTAATAGTGGAGTTATTGAGGTATTGGACTGAAAATTAGATGCTGGAAATTTAATTAAGTTGTTTGAAACTTGAATTGAAGCTAAAAGGCAAAGGACTATTTGGAATAAAATGGAAAGTTGAAATGAATTCTAAAAGAATTCATAAATGGTAGTTAAAATGGAAAGTTGAAGAATATTATGTGAAGTTTGGGTAAATTTGGATAAAAAGAGATTTATTGGTCAATTTGAAGTATTAAGGTCAACATTGATGATGTGATATGAAATTCGTATAGAATGAGCATCAAAATGTTTTTAGGAATTTATTTTCTATTGTGTGTCTATGTTAGTAAGATTCAAATAAATAGTTTGAATTGTATATGTTTTGCAAATGGTGTTTATTTAGATTGTGATTGAAATCAAGATCGAGAAATGTTAAAGCTAATGAGAAGCTTAAGGACGTAATATGAAGTGATGGTAATGTTTACAAGCTAAGAACACAAGGAGAGTGTAAATTTAATTTGTATTTATGTTATCAAGCAAACATTGGCTTGCGATGAGTCAGTGATGGAGTTTGCTATAGTAAGAAGTGACTTGAAATGTTGTGTGACTTTGTGATTTATGTATATATGTGCATTTGGTAAGCTAATAGAATTAGTGAACAAGCTGAAAATGCAAATTGGGGAAATCTGCCTAGATTTATGATTGGAACAGTAAGTTTAGAAAATCACCATAAATTCTAAATAAATGATTAGAGAATTATTTTTGTACCTTTGGATTCTTATATGAGACTAGTTTTGTGTAAAATAAACTACTACTGATTTCAATGAGTATAAAAAAAGATATGAATTTTTAATCGATTATAGGTAAAAAACAAGGCATCAGATTCTGCTCAAAACAACTTCTATAAGTTAACTTTGAAAATTCACTATAAATTGTACAAATTGAACTAGAAGAAATGTCTTATATGGTTAAATTATTATTCGAGTCCAATTTTCATTGGTATAAGTAAAATAATTTTTAAGTGTGTAGGTTAATACATAATAATATTTCTTTGAATGTAGTACAAACTGCAGAATATAAAATTGTGATAAATTTTGTGATAGAAGTGAATCGAAAGCAAAAAAATCAAGCTTAAAGCTTAGTGAGACTTATATTTTGACTTGTATACAAAGTATTAATGTCAGTGCAATTTATTTATTTAATTATTATGATCGAGGACGACTTGCGATAAATCAACCTCATTTTATTTTCAAATATGATTTATAACTTTTAATCATGGATATTTTTATAATATTTTTGATAAGTTTTATGAGTGATTTAGGGTATGAACTGCCCAAGTAGGATTTGTATGATGATGAATTTTTAAGGTTTATGATTTTCAAACGTTGATTAATTAATGATTATATTATGATATATAAGCCCATTGTATGTTGCATTGAGAGTCGTAGGTACATTTGTCATGCCATTAAGTTGAGTACTTTCCAGTTAAATTATGGTACATTCGTGTACATTATGATTTGCACAATTGGTTCTCATGTTATGATTGTACTTGGAGTGCATTATATGTTTTAGCTAAGATTGGCACCATGATGTACCCTGTGCGCACCTTATGTTCTACTCACGTACATTGTGTTCTCATAAATATGCATTGGGCTTTGAAAGTAAATATGAAAAGTGAATATGAAAGTTAAGAAAAGTATCTGAAAGGAAAAATTATGAAAGTGAAAATGAAAGTTTTGAATTAT